ACTGCACCTATATATGTTTCTTTTGTTCCCCTGCCGATTTATCAGGACATTTTTTATTTTCATAGTGAAATGCAGTTTTTTGCTCACAAGAGGATGTACTTTGAAAACGCAGAAACAATAGTTTTTTGACATTTCTTTAGAGTGGGAAATGCAAACGGAGGTTAACTATCAAATTCAACTGATAAGAAATTCTAAGTTGATGATTGATATGCCTCATGAATATGTGTTACAGAGTAGATTATGAAATAATCAGATTTTTGGGAAAGAAATCTTAATACAAAAAATGTGGGAACCTTCCAAAGAAAGAGGAAAGGAATCATTTTCAAAAAATTAACTGTATACAAAGATGTGTAGATCATGCAAAGAAGCAACTTTCAGTTACAAACTGATGAAGTAAAAGCACTCTCGAAACAGATATTTCAGTATAAACATTGAATTACACGAAAGGAAAATACTTTCGAAACAATTTTTTTATATGAATGCTAAATTATACGAAAAACAATTGTCTCTATTCCGTTTGTATTCCAAACATTCGTATGGAATCAAATCAGATATCATTCACAGGATTTCTACACAGTATAATTAATGAAAGAAGTAAAATTTCACTTACATGGACCAGTGTCATCCTCACTGGTAGACATCCGATGTTTCGCCGTAAGAAACTTGTCTTATCGGCTCTTCAGTAGCAAATACGGATAAAAACACTCAATTCGTTCATAATTACGACTTTTTGTCATGGAATGAGGCGAATCCATGTCATCGATGACAGTACATGAATAACATTCATTCGCTTATAAAATACAAACGGAATAGAGAAAAGTGTTTTTCGTATAATTCAGCGTTAATATAAAAGTATTTGTTTCGAAAGTTTTTTTTGTGAAATTCAATGATTATATGAAAGTAGCTGTTTCAGGAGGGCCTTTTCTTCCAGTTTGTGTCTGAAAGTTACTTCTTTGCATGATCTACACATTTTGAGTCAATTTTTTGAAATTGATTGCTTCCTTTGAAAGATTCCTACATTTTTTGTATCAAGCTGGAGAAGTAGAAGGCTAAAAACTTTCTTTCCCAAAATTCAATCTCTCCTAAAAACATACCCTCTCAATTTAAACAATAATCGTAGATAATGTTTGAGGTGTAGATGAAGGTTGTAGGTTTAGGCGATGTAGAAAAGTAGAACTCCACAAGCTTAATGAGTTACTATTTCACAATATTTAGATCCACGTTGCCTTGATTGGTCTGCATAGAGTTATCTTTTATAGAGTTATGAAAAGGCATGAAGTGTTATGCAAAAGTGTTAGTCAGAGGATCATTCCGTTGATCATCAACCTCAAAGGAACACTTCATAGGAACGCTGGACACTGAACAACACAATTCCAGTGGTGAGCCACTGGTAGAACATTTTTGGAAAACGTATTTGACACATATTTCACCTGAGATTTTCTCAAACCGCAGCACGTATTTCACTTGTCAGTGGCATATTCAAATTCGTTCCATATTCTAATAGGTTGTTTCAAAAGTTTCGTCCGTTTTTTAAATTCTGTTTTAAACTGTAATATCTCAGTTAATTCTTATTCAATTCAAACGAAATAAGCGCCATTTGAATCAGTGCACTTTTGCCAACGTGACACAAGTCGATTTATTCCTCAGCATAAAATTGTGTGCTCGAGATTCGATGACGTCGACGAAGGCCGTTTTTGCCAGTTTCTGATTGGCGACGGTTTTACCAGTGAGAAAGTTATCGAAGTGCTCGAAAATATGGTATTAGGTTGGTGAAAGGTCTGGTGGCTGAGGCAGAACTTCGACGCTCAATTCGTTTAATTTTCGGACGATGATTTGTGAACGTGCGGACGGGCGTTGTCGTGGAGCAGGATCGGATCTCTTCTGTTGACCAGTGCCGGCTGCTGCTGACGCAATTTTCGATACATTTCGTCAATTTCCTCACAATAGGACTCTGCTGTGATGGTTTGGCCCGGTTGCAGAGAGTTATAGTGAGTCTCATCAGCCGCTGACCACCATACAGTAACCATGGTATTTTTTTGGTGGGTTTTTGCCTTTGGTAAGTGCCTGGGTGGCTCATCAGTGTCCATCCACTGTTCTGAATGTCTCCTGTTGTCGTAGAGGATCACATGTGACGATCCGAATAAAAAAAGAACGTTTTAGTTGCTCAAATCAAAGATGAACAGACCTCAAAACGTGACAATTTCTGTCAATCGTTTTAATCGTGGGGCACCCACTTTTCGAGCTTATTGGCCGTTCCAATCCGTTGTAAACCGCATGGGAGCTGACGTTCAATTCTTCCGCCATCCCATGCACCGTTTGTGATGTGTCATTTTTCACCAGAGTCCTCAAACCTCAAATCCTCGTCCTGGATTACTGTAAGTCGACCACTTCGTGGTTCATCTTCGAGGCTAACATCTCCGGAACGAAAATTCGAAAACCAACGTTGAACAGTGCGTTCATCAATACTCTATCATTGCCAAATGCCTGGTTAATTTTTTGGGTTGTTAAATTGGCCTAAAATCGCTCGAGATCAAATAGTATATATGAGCTGAAAAGAGGCAAAAAATTTGATTTTGAAAGTAATGAACTTTAATGTATAAAGGACAGAATTCTCTATCGATCAGTAATCACGACACCGTAGTATAAATATTCATTGAGATATGGAACTACAAAACACATAGCATTAAAACAGACAAAACTTTTGAAACAACTTGATACTTATATAATGAAATACAATAAATACTACTAGATACAATATTGAAATTGAACACGTCTGAAGAAATACGCCTAAAGCTTGTCGCCCCCTTGTCCGGCACAGCACAGCACGGCCCGCCACTAGCCTGGCACGGCACGGCCAAGAGCGTCCGCCGCCGGAAAGGATTCCAGCTCTCCGATCATGTCCGGCAAATAACGGTACGTTCTGTGACGGACTGGCCAAGTGAGCGCGTCGCCGGCAGCGCTTGCCAGCATCAACATGTCCATAAGTTCCTGGGAAGTTTCTGTCTCTCTGTTTTCCTATTCCATCAGTTGACAGCATGGTGTCAGACGGTACCCATGAAAATGGACGAGAAAAAATTAAGTTGCTTGTTGAGACAGGCTGTAGAATATTCAGAAGTTCTGAAAATTTGCCTGGAGTCATTCGAAAATAATGGAAAAATTTCTCCACGTCTTCTTTCAGGTCGTTGAGATGATGAAACTCTCCCAGATTTGCCCTCCTTTGATTAATGGGATGGACCCACAACATTTTTTTTGTGACTATTTTCTTCTACATTCACTAATGCGGCCACTATAATGACGACTTCCTCGTCAGAACTGCTAGTGATAGGCATGTTTCTGTCACCGCTCGATGTTAACTGAAATTTCCTTGAAATCGAACAAACACCACCTTCAGTATGCTGGTTGTAGCTGGACAAGTGGGCGACAAGCTTAACTGAAATACTTGTAGCTGTTCTATAAACTGTTTTACATAATGAAGTGCGTAAAAGTATCGGTTAGTACCACAACATGGCCCAGTGTTTTGGATATATCCTGAATTACTTTCACAGATTTTCGGTATTTATGTAAATGGAACACATTGAAAATTTGAGAATATTATTTTGTTGATATAATTATTGTAGATCAATTTCAGTAGGTTCATTTGAGAACTGAGTCCTAGGCAGTGATAACATTACGTTTCAGTTGTTCCCCGAAGATCGTTATTATTCTATGTTCTCAAAAAGCGTTTTCTTAAGGAGATTTTTGAACTTTGTCGCTTCAGTGAATTCGTCATTCAGAATTTATTGTAAAAGAACAGTGCCATGAAAAATAAACATGCGATAGAATACAGGGTGTCTCAAATAAATAATACAATCTAATGAGAATTCCTCCGAAACAACTTTCTCTATATTGAAATTCAACCTTTATTGTTCACTTATGAATCATTAATACAGGGCTAATCAAATTAGAGTTCCTGCCTGGGAATGTTGTTAATGGTTACAGATAGAGAATCAGACCAATACCATTTCTTGTTTTAGAGTACTATCAAATGATATGAAATAATCTAATATAGTTTTGTTGGTTTCGTAGATGTAAGGTTGAAACAAAAATTTCTAAATTCTAACAGATGCGAAAATATTTCTTCTTTTCAAGTAATAGGTAATCAAGGCCTGAAAAAAACAATCCATCTAAAGATCAACAAATTCCGAAACTATCATAAATTTCAGAAAAAAATTGAATTTCTCAGTAACTAATGAACATTGGAGACTAAAAAATTAACTCAATAAATGCAGGTCCGCATTTGAAATTTTGAATTTGAAAGGGGTCCAAGTTGGACGAAACACTGTATGGAAGTTTTATGAATATTATCTGATTAATAGAAAGTTCTGGTGGAATTATATTGAAGGTGAGCAAAAATGAAATTTCTAGTTTTCCAGAGGTTCGAGAGTCGATTTCAGTAACATTCAATAGTCGCTATACTGACAGTGTAATCGACTCTGTCTCGTACCTTTCATGTGTTGCTCATTCAGAGACTTGAATTTGAATACCCTTGAATATATTTCAGTAAACGTTAATGAGAGACACCCTGCAAATACAAACATATGTCCTAGTCAATTCCGTCCAAAGTTGTACAACGTGTCAAAGCCAAGCCAAAAAATAATTGATAAAATTATATTGAAATACTTTGGATAAACTAATGGATGTAGCCTACGTGGTAGGTAATCATAATGAAGAAAAGAGAATAGTAACTTTTTTTACCACTTTTATTTGTAACTAACGTTACATTTGAAAATGTCCTTATAGGATGAAACTGCAGTAACGTTGGTTACAAATAAAAGTGGTAAATAACATAGAAAGTTTCAATTCTCTTTTATTCATTATGAAATACTTTGGAATGAATCGACTCTGTCGTGACAAAAATGCCTTCGTGAAATTTCGGACATAATTTAGTGTTATTATTATCAGTTAATGATGAGTTATTGAATAAATGCTGGTAACATTAGGTAGAAAAATCGAAGACTTACCCTTCTGGATAACAACTTCTGAAACAAAAAGTTTCAGTGTAAATCAAATTTCTCCAGATTTCTTATTCTAAAATGTTCTTAACGATATACAAATGGCATGACCATCAAATGTAAGTACCTTGGGTTATACAGTTGTTAGTGAGTGAAAATTCAAAAATAACTCCGAAGGGAATGGTAAAAGTTGTTCGTTAACAGCAATTCAATAATAATTTCATGACCCTCGCGTATGGCTGTTGTCGTAGGTACTACCAGAGATTTTTGAGGAAAACCGAACAGTGTGGCGAATAATCAAGATAGTTGGGAAGGTATCGGCATAGGAGCGTATCTAATATCGAGTAACAAGATGTGATGAAGACTGCGAAGACTCAATCTGGGGGGATAGCGAACGCTGCGAAAGGAAGTTACGGAAAGTAATCAGTTGGATTAGTCTAGTGCATTCAGCGATAGCTGGCGAAGTGAACCAGTGGAATTATAAAGTAATATTAAAGTGAAAGCATTTCGAGTTGTATTTTTGAGTCTTTGAATGGGTTTTTTAATCACAAGGGTACTTACTCACTAATAATTTGACCATAACTCAAAGTCCTGTATAAACTAACAACCAAATAACAAACTGAATCAGATCGTAAAAAATAAAATGGATTTGGTATTGCATGTTTGGAAGATGTACAATCTGAGATATCCCTGTGTTTTGATCAAAACTTTATTTGAAGTGGAAAAATACCTGCTTGTAATGTCTAGAGTTTAGAAATTCTAATAATTCTATTTCGAGTGTCTTAACGGATAGAGCTTTTGGTTTTCGAGTATTTTCAAAAAAAGTCCAACGGTGTAAGAAACTCTCCGTTCAGGAACTGGAAAACGGGGGGTCTCCCTTCCTGAAGAATAGTTTCTCGTCATATTTTCTAGCTAGCTAGTTACCAAAATTTGATCAATCAATTCCGATTTATTATGAGGCTGAACTATTCACAGAATAGTTCGCGGTGGTCGAATTTCTCTTCATTGAGGGCATGCATCATTTGATCACTTAAGATATGCTTTTGACTCAAAATTTCGAGTACATTTGACACCAGAAAGGGTAGCAACTGCTTTAGAAAAATTGTCAGGCTCTACCTCAACATGACCAAAAATCACAATTTGTACAAATCCATTCCTCACTGGAAAATTTTTCCTGAGATGCGATGAACATTCATTGTGCTGATGATGCAAATCTAATATTTCGAGCCTAGTATCAAAATTTCGAATTTTGAAGTTGTGCACCTCGTGCTTGTGCGCTAACAATATATTCAGTTATTCAAAAACGTGGATGCATCAATTAAAATTGGTAATTGTAACTTTTTCCCTTCGTGAAGTTACAACGGTAAAAGAACTTTGGAAGGAAAACCAAAACAACCACAACGATAAGATCCAGTTTTCATCTCTGAAAATATTTTATTTTCCATATTTTCCCATGTTTCGGTCCATAAATCAGGGTATTTCCGAGTCAAAATCAACAAGAGGGCGATATAACTTGGCAAATTAGAAGTCTGCCGCTATCTCCTTCTACACGTGCTATCTCGGACACTGAATTTTTCATTCATATCTCACAATGACAGAGATTCGGATGCATTTTCATATAAATTACATCATATTTCTGAAAAGAAGGGCGCGTCTTCCGAGGCTGTTAGTCATCCTAAACAATGATTTATAGCAGCTAACATATTGCCGGATGGACCCGGCGGCCACCGGCTGTCGGCCCGAGGCTCTTCAGACCCTTCGATAGTCGAATCTGGCTTGTAGGACAACCTGCAATATTTCAGCAACAGATTCACACCCCGAAAATACATTCCAATTCTGGTTGAACGATTTTTTAATAATAAGAGATAGACGATAGACAATGCGATACGGATCTGGTGTCGCGGGGTGTTTTCGAATCTTTGGTAGATATAATTACAAAATCATAATATAAGAAGATAGATATATGGTATCCCAGAGGCTCCCAAATCCTAACGTCAATACGTTTAGAAATACAATAAATTCTTATAGCAGCCACTGTTTCTTCGTCATTTATGTTGAAATAAACATTGCAAAGAAATGAAAATATGGCATCGGAAGTGTTTTTTTGCTTTTGGATACCAAATTGGCAATCACTTATTATTTTGTTTTCATTCTTCTCTTCTCTAAATGAATTAATTATTAGGCTAACTAATATATCGAGTATTCTTATCGGAATATTTTCTAGGATTTTCTTAGAGATTTCATCTGAGCCTGTGGAGTTCATTTTCAATGGAAAATAATGTTTCATGCAGTTCGGTAATATTTGTATCATATAATATATAAGGTTTGTTCTGGTTCTGCGAAATTCAGGTTCTAGGACGTCAGGATCATGCGCAGTTGATATATAATTTCGGACTGATGAATCCTCTGTTCTGGTTTTGACTGCGAAATGATCCTAAACTGTTTTGAACTGTCCCGAATCGTTCTTGCTCTCGAGGCTGAACTGTTGAGAACTGTTCCCGTTGCTCATGCGCATTCATGTGGAAATTTGTTTGGGCTATTTGCTAGGATGTTTTTTCATTTATTTGATTTGAATAATCGATGATTGAGGGTAGATAACATTTGAGCTGACTATAGGGATACGCTACATAACAAAATGGACATGATTAATAGTATTTTCTCGACTTCATCTCTTCATATATACGATAGGTGGCACAGTGGTCTCCTCAAAAGCGTTCTGGTTTAAACAAGTGTCCGAGACTATTTCGGACTGTTTGAGATTTGTTTGTACGCACCATGTCTTGCGCAGTTTCCAAACGTTTTGGGATGTTAGAACCAGAACAAATCTATAGGTGTTCGTAACTTCGATATTCACATAGTCTAAGGGGTCACTGGCTGATTTTATATTTTTCGTCAAGTCTTCCGCAATAGAGCAATAGAAGTCATTAAGTTCAGTAGGAGAAAACGGAATGTCTATTAATTTTTTGTGTCTCTTGCCAGTAAGTTCAATAATGATACACCAAGTTTTTTTTTATTCGTAGCTTTATCCATTCTACTTTTATAATATTTGCTTTTAGCTAGTTCAACTACATTTCTGTAGATGGTGCGATAGCGGAGGAAGTAATTAACAAAAAATGGAGCAGATGTAAATTTTCTCAAATAATGTAATACCCTCATGTTTTTTGCCGAAACCCTAATACCTCTTGTCAACCAATATTTGTTTTTGTGTTTAAAATTGATTTTTTGAACTGGAAAGCTTTTATCAAATATATAAAGTAATTTATTATAAAATTCAAGAAAAGGGTCTTCAGAAAATTCTATATGATTCCATTCAGAGCTTAGACACAAGTTAGAGAACCTGTTATAATTAGCAGAACTATACAATCGTATACAGTTAGTCTTCTCAATTGAAATTATCATCATAGAATTCTGCTAAGATATAATAAGGTCTCACAGAGAGTGAGAGAATCACTTTCTCTTCAAGAAAATGATTAAATCTATCTACTGCTACTAATTTGATTTGTATAGACTCTTTCACTAAAATAATAGTTCCTCCATGTGAGTTGTTTATTTTTTGTGTTATCTTCGTGTTCGGCTTGTATGTGATGTTGATGTTCAGTGGTTTGAAGATGTTTGTTGGTTTTTTGGTTTGGTGTCCTACGTACGTAAATGCTGTCCATCGTTGTGTTTGTTGTTTTGTCTGTTGGGGTGGCTTGATCTTTGTTCTGTATTTTTTGTTTGATTAAGTACTTTGAACCTGCAGACGAATGATATTGTGGTTAGTTTTGACGTCGTTTCTCTCTTCACCATGGTACCAGTCGAGGAAACATCGGAACAGATCAAGCAAATTTTCCTAGGAGACATCAAAGCTTTTCTCGAGCATGCTCTTAACATTACATATTTCGAATTGAATGACTGTTTCTACGAACAAATAAACTGAGTTGCTAGGGGAAGTACGCCCAGCCCTGTGGTTGCATATTTCTAGCTGTAAGTTTTCGAAATGAGAGAGATCAGCACCACTTCATTGAAACCTACCTGTTGGTTTCCCGACGTTTGTTATTGAAGCCACGGGAAACAAGCATGAGATCAATTTTTTACCACATCCACTCCATTAATCCTTGCATTCAGTTTATCATGGCTAAGGAAAAACGGAATCACTATATTCATTTTTCGATACACTAGTCAACAGAAAACCCGACGGAAAACCTGGTCACACAAACCATGCAGGGCACAAACGTGTTATGATGATCGCTCTTGTTTACCGTGCCATCGAGATTCATGAGCCACATCTTTCTGAAGAAGAACTTCGTCATCAAACATGCTCTACATCCTAGAAGAAGAAATACTCCAACTTCCACACCTTCCAGCCACCAGTGGTAGGTACAGAATACTTCCGTCACATGAGTCAGTCGTTGCTGAGACTTCGAGAAATAACTTTCGTCCTCTCAGTGAATGCACATACTGCTGATGTCGTCTGCCGTAGTAGCAGAAGAAACGTTTGGTACTACAAGTCCTATTCCACCACGACCTACCTGCCCTTCATTTTCTCTAATCGTGAATGCCTATGTTCTTATGCCGAAGAAAGTTTGGGTATCTACAGATACTTTAACGGAAATTATTCGACTGACTTTGTCTTTTTGATTCCAACCAGAGCGATATATGTCTAGGTATGCGGCAAACTAAAGCTTCTTATCGTTTTGAGGCACAACTTATTGCAACTACAGTTTTTGATAACTCTTCCATTGTAGAATAAACTTCCCGGGATATTTTTCCAAAATGCAAATAATCCGCAGCAACTAAAATTGCACAGGAACCACAGTGTTTGAAGAATTTCGCCGCATAAATTGTGGATTTGCATACTGAAATGTTTCGATCAACAGGAACTGAAGAACTAACAAGAAATTGCCTCAATTCAAGGAATTGTTACCTCTTACTCGCAGTTTTCTCCATCTTTCCTGGAAAGAAAGCAATTCATTTTCAATTCAAACACACCATTATTGGCAGAACGAAAAGCATATAGCACAACGCACAACATTAGACTTGTAGAT